CCAAGGGCAAGTTGCTCAATTAATGGTTTTAGTATTCAGTTGGGTCAGTTGGATTGAGTCTATGAAGTGAGAACTTATAAGACAGTATAATGTCTTTAGGTTTATAGTACAGTTTACTGAAATGACTCCTATTTCCCAACATCACGAAGCTTTCTTGCCACATGCTTTTTTGTTTCTCGAAATTAAACTTTATATACTCCTGTTCTGTTATGGTGAATTCTTGATGATGTTGATAATGTTAAGAGCTTATATATATTGTTGATTTACTGTTTGCCAGGCACTAAATGCTTCACAAAAGTTACCAAATTTATGGGCCGGCCCGGTGGCGCACTGCGTTAATGCGCCGCTTGGGAAGCACGGCGGCGCTCCCGCCGAGGGTTCGGATCCCACATATAGACCGNTCTTTTCATGTGTGTATTGGCTATTTGTATATATCCTTTGGAGAATACTATCCTATCCTTTGTATATTTGTATTTGTATATATTCTTTGGAGCATCCTATCCTTTGCTCATTTTTTAATTGGGGTTTTTGTCTTATTGTTGTTGAGTTCTTTATATATTCAGGATACTAGACCCTTATTAGATGTATGACTTTCAAATGTTTTTTCCATTTCTTGGTCATCTTGATAATCGTTCTTTCTAAAGTTATGTCTCTGAGTATAAATGCAATATTTCCGCAGCCAGTATAGGGTAATGGCATAAGAGAGCTTGATTCTGGAGTCAGCTTGCATGAGTTCAAATTGTGGCTGTGTGACTTTGGGCGAGCCAATTAACTTTTCTCTCTGTTAGAAATATTTTCAAGATTAAATTCTTTCATATGCTCAAAACATTTAGAATAGTGCCTAACACATAGTAGTGCTCAACATGTTATTTAAAAATAGAANCCAGTTGATTGTTTGCCTTCTGATTTTGCTTCACATTTCTACATTTTTATATAGTCAAATCAAATAAAGCTTTATTAATAGTTTTCTCATTTGTTCATCCTTAGAAATTCCTTTTTATCCTAAAAATAGATAAATATTCTAATACTTTCTTTTAATAGCTTAGTGATTTGTTTTTTACATTTTACTCTTTATCCATTTTTAAATTCATTTTGGTATATGGTGTTCACTGAATTTTTTTCAAATAATTAAGTTGGGAACTTTTATTCCAGTACCATTTACTAAATAATCCTTTTTTTACCCTATTGGCTTTGGAAGCCACCTTTATTATATTACTGTATTCTTGTACATTCCAGCATCAGTTTCTGGGTCACCTATTAAGCTGTCAGTTTTGGTACCAGTAAAACAATTTTAACACTATTTTGGCACTGGTATATATTTTAATATTTAAAGCATAATTCATCCTCCCTAATTATTCTTCTTTCTTAGATATTATTGAATTTTATTCATCTGCATGAACTTTAGGGTTACACAAAATGTTCACTTTAAAGAAATCTTGTTGGGATTTTAAATAAAAATTAAGGTCTACAAATTAATTTGGAA